AGCTCTCTTGGCTCGCCTTTAAACCTATCGAACTTAGCCTTTTTGGGTTCTGATGTTTTTGATGACAAATTGGTCTTGATAAACTTCATAATTACTCATTTCCTCTCTCCGGTAGATGGTGTACAGTCTCCCTGGTGTCACAGTCTCTTGTAACAAATCCCCTGTGGTAAAGATTATACCACGTGACGATGATCACAGGGATAACTGCAGATATGAATGGATATTTACAGTCACATTTGAGGTAAAAAAACCAATAAAAAATAAGCTCTATTCCTCTCCTTTCGAAGATGAAAAATAAATGAAAGAAATGTATGCAAAAAATAACGCCAAAACCCGTTGTGGCTTTGTTTGTTTGTATCATTATTGTAATCATTGGTTTATTTCAAGTAATGAAAGCTTTGAATATTTGTTTTAACCGTTATCAGATAAGTCAAGTTGGAAAGTTGCGCCAAATTGACCTCCTTCATCGCTACCACGACTGCTATCGGCTCACTGGCGTTAAAGGTTTCTTAAACAACAAATTGATTTTCCAAGAATTATCTAAACAGCTCCGGTATTACACTCTCCCGTGGCATTCTGATGACAGAAAGGGCCGAATGGAAGTAGTCATTACTGTCTCTTTCAATACAACAAAGCTCAATCAGACGTTTACACAGTGCCTCAGGTTTGACTTTGGGAAAAAACCGTACCTATTACAAGGATTAAACGTGGACATAGCAAACAATGATGCACTGAGGGGTGTCTCAGAGATAAGACAGCAACTTCAGCTGGATCCCATTGTGTGGAAAGAGGGGTCAATAGATATCGTACCTTGGCCAGAGATCACTGACACAGGCCATCACGATGTGCTGTTGCTGGATAAGTACCGACTGCCGGAGAGAATTGAGAACGTCATTTCGTTACAAATAGTCGAAAGAAAGCTTAGCATGGAAAACTACAAACGAGTGATGCATCAGTTGTTGTTTACTGAAGAGCTTTTCAGGAAAAAGGCTATTTCAAGGTGTGAGGACGAGATGAACTATGTATTTCTTATGTTATATGTTTTCCTTTGTTACGTACTTTCCTTTGTCAGCCCCGCTTTGTCGTTTGCACCGAAGAACTGAGTGAAGAATAGGGGTGTTAAGGAAATATCTCAGTTTTTCAGATAATACCATCACTCGAATATACTTAAAATATGTCTAAAACGTCGTCTCTCTAATTTTAAGTGACAAAGCATCATCTGAGTTTAGCTGGGTCGTCAGTAAATCGACGATACCAATAAATTCTTTTCTCACAACTATCTCAAAGTTACTTGTTATCTTTGCAATCCGATCATGTCCAAGGTGATTAGCAGGAATACAACGAGAAATACACAATTCCAATAACTTTAATGAGCCAAGAGCTCATTCATTCTCTTTACTTTCGAAATCGTGTGATTTCAATTTTTTACCATCAGTTAAATTGAAAAAATCGTATATATCGAAATTCGTTTGGTAAACAAGATATCCCTTTTTAAACGAAATCAAAACAGGAAACGGTCTTCTTTTTTTTCACAGGTATTGCCTTGACGATGTGCTTCTGCAATGCAAAAGTAGTGTTTCTGACGGAAGATCTGGATTTGCATATGCTCCAAAGGGCGAATTGTTTGGCATTTTGAGTTTCCAGGAGCGTGGACTCCATTGTCTGGAAGGCGCTGCAAGAAGGCTTCTTACCAGAAATGTACAATATTCCTTGCTTAAGCCGGCCAGGGGCGATTCAAAGAAAGTGTACCAAGTTAAGGTAGAAAATGTCGAGTTCCAATTAGGGTGCATAACCCTTCACTTGTCTCCTACATTTTGTGCAGAACTTTTTGTAAAAAACGATGCGTGCGTATCAGTTGATGCGCAATTACAGCTCAATCGGAAACCTCTCTGCGAATGGCACGACACAATTGATAAACTGGGTCCCGTCCATCTCAATTTGTTGTTTCCAGGCAATAATACAGCGCAAGTCAGTCGAGAGGTTGGTATACTATTATTGACTTGAACATTTGAAATGCAAATACCATTGTTTATAAATAGGCCATTTCCGAATTACCTTTTGCCTCTTTTTCAAAACGAGGCTTGGTACTCAACTATTCCTTTGAAAATTAGTTTAATTTGCATGCGAATAAAAAATTGTAATCATGTGAAAGGATGAGCAGCAGGACTCTCTTTTAAATTGAGGCGAACGGTAATCCGGAAATAGCCTATGGCGTTGATGCATGAATTTGGGAAATCATTTGGGGAAATATCTTTGCTCTTCTATTTTCCACTTGAATAATCTTTTACATCATTAAAGTGAGTTTAGCGAGATACATTGTATGGCATTATCAAGTCAAAGATTCTCGAGTTTTAGAAATGGGAACTTGCTGAAGGACTAGTGTATTCCAAGAGTGTAGCAGGTAATTTAGTGTTAACAACTGGGTTGAAAACGCAAATTAGCCACCGTAAAGAGTAAAAAAGCTGACGTTTCGAGCGTTAGCCCTTCGTCAGAGCGATCATCGAAAACTTCAGCTTCTTTACTCTTTACGGTGGCTAATTTACGTTTTCGAGCCAGTTGGTAACACTAAATTACCTGCTATACTCTCCCACCGACGCAGCACTACAGTTTCTTTAGAAAATTACCCCTCTATTCCAAGAGTGGTTGTCGCCCGCCATCGCATTGAGAATCGTTTCTGCACTTCAGGTTCTGTTGAAAACCATTTTTTGCGAACAGAGAGATATTAACAATAGCGTGAATCTTTATATAGAACATGTCAAAGTTGGAAATAACTCCCATATGTTTATTTTAATGATTTCATCTCGACTTGAAGGATATCTGCCCTAAAAACTGGCTTTCTTTGGACTCCAAAATCAACGACAGCCAAAAAGAGGTAATAAATCGCCTTTTATCGCCTCAAAACACATCGTCGCCACTGGTAGTATTCGGACCATTCGGAACTGGAAAGACATTCACCTTAAATCAAGCAATCCGTCAATTGGTAAGAAGTCAAAGCAACCACATCCTCCTGTGTACACATACAAACAGTGCAGCTGATATACACGTTGAACTGTTACATGATTACTTAACAAAACAAAAAGGACTTAAAGCGAGCAGGCCTTTGAGGATTTATCACACAGAGAGAAGGTAATAAATAAAGCAATCCTTTTCCTAATCATTTTATGCCTTAGGGCGTGAGTGTTTCCAGCTGATGGATCATTTTCAATAAATATTTATGTGACTTTTGTTAGAGGTCTTTACCACAAGTTCACTACTGTGAGCCATGATATGTTTTTTCTTAAATGTTTCATTACCTACGTAAGCGAACTACGCGTAATACATCGCTACATTTTGTTTGTGTTTTGACTCGCGCTACGGGATAAGCGACCGTCCGCAGTCTAGACGCAAGCAGCGGACCTCGACTTAATTTTGGCCATTAAAGAGGTTCAATATGGAACAGTATCCTAAATTAAAGTTACGGTTATTTGATTTTTATTTTGAAGCTTATGAGCTTTTTTTGGCATTACTGACAGTCAATTGTCTCCCTCGCAAAATTTCAGACTGAGCGTTGATTCCGAAATTGCTAAAAACTATGGCCTCATCGAAAACGGCGCCTACGTGCTTCCCACTAGAGAGCAAGTAATGAAGCACCGTGTGGTGATCACCACATTAGCTGTATCAAGGAATCTGCTTGAGCTACATTTAAACCATGGCTTCTTTACACACATTTTGATTGACGAGGCTGCCCAAGCTATAGAACCCGAGGCGCTCATACCACTCGCGCTGGCTGGACCAAACACAAAAGTGGTTTTTACCGGAGATCATATGCAGGTGAAACGTTGTTAACAGAGACATCGTGACTGACACAAATGTGAAGTAAAAATATATTGAAATATGAAGTTGAGAGGCGAAATTATAATTGTTAGTTCATGTTTGTCAGTAAGAAAATATCAAGCAAGATGTGAAGGTATTACAGTGACGAAAAAGCTTAGCATTTGAAATATAAGGAGCGATTATCAGTATACTGCTATTAACTCAAGAATTCAAAGCCATACTTTAACCAGAAGCTCCAATCCTGAGATTTTTCATTTATTTTTGAGAGAATATATATCTTCCAGTAGAATGTAGAGGTTTGTTTTCTAAATAATCAAAATGAATTTGTTTTCCTCGGAAAAAAAGTTTTGTCCTCAAAAAGCTCATATTTCTGAGGACAACAATTATACAACAATCATTGTTATAATAAAGTTCGGATATAAAGCGCGCTTTCATTGGCTGAAAAAGCGTGCTCTATGAGAGTATAGAGCATAGAGCTGAGCT